AAGCCAGGTAGTCTGGCATTCAGTGCCACTAACTTTGTTTTATTTGCCTTTAAGCTAAGCCAGAAGGCCCCATGATTGTGGAAAACACCACCATGGATGTCTTGGGAGAGGTAAGTCATGTCAAAGCCTTTGAAAATCTGTAATATTATGTGCCAAGCTGGGTCAGGTTGCATAGTTGCTAGAAACATTCCCTCAAATGACTTGATTCCTTGGCCCTTCACCATTAACTGCTTCTGGGAGGGAAGGAAAGCAAGGGTGATTCTGGAAAATGAATAGAGATCCTTGCTTTGACTTACTGCTCTAAAAAGGTGTGAGCTACATGCTTAGTCCTTACATTCCTGGAAAAAATAAAACAATTCCAGTTATGTAAAACCTCTGTGATAAAAAATTGAGGGGGAAGTGGGACAGAGAGTAGTGTGAATCCTGGTACAAGCATGAGGATTTGACTCAGCTGACATTGAATTTGTTGTACTCTATCTCCTGAGCTGGTTTCCTGTTGTTTAGACAAAAGGAAATATGCCCTCTTGTCCTCCCTCCACACCATGGCTATTTCTCTGGCAGTAAGAGGAAGGGCCCAAGAAACAGGGAAGAAGTAGAATGGGCCCCTCTGCCTTCAGCCCTTCCAGGGTAGCCCTCAGCCTCCAGTCTGCGATCTGGAGCCGCTCCCAACTGGCTGTGACCTTGAGCAATTTACTTTACATCTCTGTAGTCAGTTCTTCGTTTATGTGAAGAATCTGATACTATCTGCTCATTGTTGTTTTAAGAATGAAATTAATGTATGAATAATTCATAGTACAGTATGTGGCATGTATTAAATGGTCAGTAAATATTGTTATCATTACACCATTATCTGTTTTAATTTTCTGACTTGTGGCCTTATGACTTCACCCAAGCTTTTCAAAATCCCAGGTAAAATAAATATTCTCAAGTATTTCCTGTTGCATGAGGCAGAAATCATTATATTTTAGTTTCTTCTCATCCTTAGATTATTAAACAATTTATGGTCTTGCAGGCTATCAGACATTTATTTCAGCAGTTGTGTATGAGTCATGGTTCAGACTCTGTGGGATGGTTGTGGATGACCATATACATGTATTACCCAAGTACCTGTGTCTATTAATTGACATTATAATTTTGAATATACTAAAGAAAGACTTGATCATTTATATTCTGTTCCAATTAATCTCCAAGCTTATCATTGGACTTCATTTTAATAGTTTAAATAAATAGTCCAATGACACAGCTTTTAGTGAATGTTTTGTTTCTTCTGAGGATGTCTTCTAGAGTCTTGGTGCCAGTGTTTATGAGTAAAATGACCTCAATTGAGATATAAATACATAAAGTGGATTCAAAAACCTGTTATAAATTTAAAAAATAATACTTTGCTTTGCATGCTACATGTCATAAAATTTCCTCTTCTGTACCCAAGCATGCCTAGATGCTTACTAGGAAGAGAAAAGAACATTCTGGGACGTTCGTGAATCATCATCTCCCTCCAAATCCATGTAACCACAGCTTATTTGTGGATGCTTTCAGGTCTTGTCAAACATTAGTGACTACTCACTCTAATATTCTTGTGATTAATACTGTATCTTTAATAACTTACTAACTCTTCAAAGCATTATAACATACGTTTACTTTGTGTTGCTTCCTACTAGCCTGGGAAATAGGTAGAGCACCTGTTATTTTACATAGGAGAAATTCATGCCTGGAAACTCTAGGCATCTGGCTGGGTAATTAACAAGGGCTGAGGCAGAGTACATACAAGCACACATCCAGGGAGGATGGTAGAGTAGGAAGAAATTATGCCTCAGTATCAGAGAGAACCAATGCTGAATCAAACTAACTAGCTACTATTACATATTAACTTCCATGAGTCTCAGCTTCCTAATCTTGAAACTGGGATAATAAATTCTTAACAGAGTTCTTAGCAAAATTAAACTTATGGCTCACAGTGGGTGTTTCAAGAATATTTTTCCTTATTTATCAGTCTCACTCTCCTTCACTAATTGTTTCTTCTGAATGTGCCATCATAAATCCACTATGTGAATTGATTCCAGGAGACAAAATGAGTTAAAGAAAGAAAAAATAGATCACACATTGTAGGATGTGGTAGGGCTAGGTTTGAATTCTCCACCTACTTACTTGAGAAAGTGGAACTCAGTTTCTTATCTTTCTTATCTGTGGGAGGGAGCAATGACTCCAACCTCAGGAAGATGATGGAAAGATCAAATAAGAGAGTATTTACAAAGCACCTGCCACCTGGAAGCCATGGAGTACTCAGCAATGGCAATTTCCTGCCATCTTCATTCCCTAAAAGTGAATGAAGTCAGCATGCATGTTCTACAGGCCTAGTCCTAACAGACCTCAGTGTGAGACTGTGTTGGGGACTCAGGTTGTGAGTTGTGTTCCAGTGTTCTTAGTTAAGCATACAAAGTATATGACTAATGTAGCTTTGCTGTACAGTAGGCAAAGCCCAACATTATTCTAAGAAGTTTATTGGGCTTGCTAACAGCATAGGGTGGGGGTTTATTTACAGAAGAGTGGGCACCCCCCTTATTTACAGCTGAAAAAGTCGACACTCAAATATTGGTCCTGTGACTTCACTCAGTTGTACAAAATGATGAGAGAGGTGCCTCATGGCGTTCTTGGCATATATATCCTTATCCTCTCCCCCCACATGTAGCTAAGGTTGATTGTTTGAGTTGGAGGGGTAACCGACTCCCCAATCAACTCCTTGACGACCACGGGAAGGAGGTAGGACTATAGCTTGCCAGCATAGTGGTCGGAGGACATTTCCAGTTTACACTCCACCTCTTCCTCTAGTTCTTACATTCTTTCAGCCAACCTCTTCCACAAAAGTTCCTGAGCCTTGGAGGGGGTGGTAAGTGTGGGATGATCTTCATCTCATTGTGTCAAGGCACTGAACTTTTGGGTCTCAGCATCATTTGTTTTCTATGGTGTTGGCCCATTTCAATGGGATTCCATCTACTATAAAAACACAAAGAGCAAGAAGCAAGAACATCTAAACAGTGGCTGCTATAACAATTTAACCTATGGGTGTAAACACAAATGCTTGGATGGTGCTTTAGCAGATACACTGCATCACAATAAAGGTCATTGCCAATAATGTTGGTTGTACACCGGAAGTGGAGGATAAAACCCTATTACTTTCATTATTTTAACAAAATTTCAGAAAAAAAATAAAGAAAGCTACCTTACATGAAACATAGAAAAAAAAATCACAGCTTAAGGTTATGATGTCTACAGAGGAAGAAAATCTACATTAATAAAAAACATAGGCTGGAGAGATGGCTCAGCTGTTAAGAGCACCGACTCGTCTTGCATAGGACCCAAGTCCAATTCCCATACCCACATGGCAACTAACAACCATCCAAAACTGCAGTTCCAAGGGATCCAATGCCATCTTCTAGCTTCTGAAGACACTGCACAATACAGGTGCACTTGCATGCAGGCAATATACTCATACACATAAAATTAAAATAAATAAAATATATTAAAAAGAACCATGTGAAGTATATACCATAAAAACCTATGTCATGGTGAGCATCTGACTTTAACAGAATTCCAGTGGCTTTTTGAAGAATTCAATTATTTGTGTTCATTTGGTTTAAGTTTTGCAAAGCTTGAATCCTTGTACATTTCTTTACTTTCTTAAGTATCACTTCTTTGCTTTATTTATTTGATTTTTTTTCATTTGTTTTAAAAGATTAAGTATACTCACCTCTTTTATTTGGACAAAGATGGTTCTTACTCTGAAGGTTGGGGCACATGACTCCCCAAAGCCATTATCATTTGCACTGGTGAGCACCTCAGCCTTCAACACAGATAGACAAAGACAGTTCTAAAAGTGGGCTTACTCCTGTTAGAAAACCACAGGGGAAGAAAAGTCTTCAATTTTTCTAGGGGGAAAAAATGTATTATAGGGCTGCAATGCAGCCTGGGTTTTTTCACAAGCCTGGTGTTCAGACTTCTGTTTTGTAGACAGCTCAAAGGGAATGCAGGTCTCCCTGCAGGCACTGCCTGAGAAGTTCAGGAGGGAGTAAGAGTGATCCATACAGATCAGGACCAGGGGAGACAAGGTGTTTACCAAGGTCTCATCTCTTCAGGAGTTAGATGCTAAAGAGTCTGGGTTGTTAATGCGATAAGGAGACACTGTCTTCCTCTCCTGGCTCTACTAGCTCTCTCCTTCTCTACTGGTATAGATACTTCTCTTATTACTGTGACAAAATACCTGACAAAAGCAGCTTCAGGGAAGGAAGGGTTTGTTTGCGCTCACAGTTAAGAGGGGTACAGCCTGTGGTGGCATGACAGTACAAGTGTGAAGTAGCCAGTCACATTGCATCCACGGTAAGGAAGCAGAAAGAGACGAACGCTGGTATTCCTGCTTTCCTCCTTTCTTTCCTCTCCCTCCTGGAGAGTCTCATGCAGCCCAAGCTGGCCTCAACTCAGTATATAGTCAAAGAAGACCTTAAATTACCCATCTTACTGCCTCCACCTCCAAAGTGCTGGGATTACAAATATATGGCCATTTCCTTTTTCTCTTTTTTTCAGTCTGGGGCCCAAGTCTATGGGATGCTACCAATCATTCAGGATATGTCTTCTTTCTTCAGTTAAACCTCTTTGGAAACACCCTCACCTAGGTGATTCTAAATCCTGTGAATTTGACAGTCAAGATTAACCATCACACTACCCCACTTCCAAATCATTCAAAAAGGAAGAAGAAAAAAAGGGCTAGATAATTCATTCTAAACAAAAGTCAGCTCCAACACTGGGCACGGTGACACATGCCTTTAATCCCAGCTTGGGAGGCAGAGGCAGGCAGATCTCTGTGAGAATGAGGCCAGTCTGGGCTACATAGTGAGTTCCAGGTAGTCTAGGGCTAGGAAGATCCTGTCAAAAAAGTCAGCTCCAGCACAAAGGCCACAGTAGCATCCAGTTTTGAATTTATTCTATTCTAAGTTAATAATTTGGACATATCATTAGTAACGTGGGAGATTTTTGTTCCATATGGACTATTAGGCTGTCTTTAAAAACTCAGAGAACAATGGATTGTCATGCAGTTAGTATTTCAGAGGTACAAGTAAAATCTATGACCTTCTCAAATGAATGTCTGGTCTCTGGACATGAAACAAAGTCAATTTATCTCATTAAAACTGAACCTTCAGAAGCTAAGAAAATGTCCTCTGTCTTTCCATCAGCCAGACAATCATGGTCTCTTCATCCAAGGTGATGTTCCTAAAGCACTGCTCTTCCTTGCCTTCTCCATATCTCTCTAGCATTGTCTTCTTAACTTTATCTCTGTTCTTCATTTCTCCTTACCCTGCCTTTCTTCTTTTCCTTTCTGAGTTTTATTTATCTCTCTCACTAATTCTTTCTCCCTTATGCCTTAATATAAAGTTAGATTAAATTATAAATATATGCAAGCAAATTTTAGTTGTGTGTGTGTGTGTGTGTGTGTGTGTGTGTGTGTGTGTATGCCATGGTGTACTTGTGAAGATCAGTGTTAGATGGGACTTGACCAGGGCGACATGAAAGATGAAGGATGAAATGAGAAACCAACCTCAAGAAGGGAGACTGACCTTTATTTAGAACAATGAAAGGACAGACTGGGCACTTGAGGCACACAGGGTTTAATCTTTTTAGGGCTAGGGAAGGGGCTGGGGGAAAAGAAGGGAGAAGGAACCTCCTAGGGGTGCAAGGATGGGGTAGAAAATATCTTGTCAGCAGTTTTGTTTTCTTCAGTTTGAGGCTAAGAACAAGAGTGGCTAGCAGATGTTTCCCCAGACTTTACAGTGGCTCCTCAGACATTAGTTTCTGGACTGGGGCTTTCTTATTTTGGATCTGGCGATAGGGACTTGCACTTTCTCAATTTAGCCTGGTGTTTTCCAAGCTGATACATTTGTCCTTCAATCAGAAGATAATTTTTGGTCAGTTCTCTTCTTTCAAAGTGGGTTCCAGGCATGTCAGGTTGTCAGGCCTTGTTGGCAAAGAGCTTTTATCCCTCTTGGGGCCACCCCGCCAGCCTGTATTTTTTTATTCTTAATATTTAAATCAGGTAAGCTGAAAAGGCTTTGATTTTTCTCTATTCTAATTACACATTAATTAGTTTCAGTGTTACATTGTTTAAAAAACCAGGAGGGTGCAGAAAGGTTACACAGATGACACAGCTTTAATGGAAGACAGCAAAATGTTATAGGAGAAGGCTGCATTGCAAAGGTCCAGAGAGTGCAGGTGAAAGGCTCCTGTTCTTCCATTGTTGGCTCATTCAGAATAACCTTGGTATCCTGTCTCAGATCCCCAGCTCTATGTGTGTAAACACTTCTGTCTTGGTAAATTGCCGGGGGGTTAGAACCAGCGACCCCCGGCGAGGTGAGGATTGGGGATGAGTAAGCACGCCATTCGCCAGCCCATGCCGCCCCCATTACCCGGGGACACTCAGATGCAACGGGGAGTCTTAGGCAGAGATTCACTTATTGCAAGTGTTCCAAAGCTTATAAAGACACCTGGAACTCCCCCCTCCCCCCTAAGGGTGTATCTTAAGGATAGTAGCGTGTTGATCATGCACTCCTCAGCAGTGCAGAAGTATTCTTCAGACTTTCAAAGCAAGCCAGGCCATGCCCCCAGTAACTTCCTTTCGGACCTATGCAAGGTGGGGCCTTTAGGTCCCCACAGTAAATCCAAGTTCTGCGGCTGTTGGAGTCTCTGAAGGCAAGCTGATCACATAGGCACATTCGGACTCCCTGCCCAGCCTCAACCATCCAAACCCTCCAATCCACTAAAACTAAGTGCTGAAAACGCTGACAGGCCGGCACATTCTGCCCTGAAAGAACTCACAGGCGCCACTGTGACAAAATAACCTTTATGTTTCATTAGTACATTTTGTCTTGATCAAAGGTCAGAGAACACCAGAGACCCTGTACATAAGCATTTCGTCAGTTCACACCTGCCAAGATGAACTCATACCATGATTCTTACTCCCCTAAAAACAAAAGTGCCTCTGCGCTGCTTCGCTTTGTTTTTGAGCTGGAACTAAAAAGACTGAAAGCCATGGTTTTTCAGAGCGCACTTCTATAGGCAGAGTTCAAACAAAATGCAAGGAACATGCTGCTGCCGGGAGGTCCATTTCTCGCTGCAGGCAAGCCTCCTCAGCTCTCGCCTTGCACTTCATCTCCATGATGGCCCTTTCCACCTCCTCCAGGGCTCACTCTCTCCTTCCCAAGGCCCTCTCATGCCATTCCACTGCCCTCTCCCTCCTCAGCACCTCCTTTTCCCTGTGGCTGGCCCATAAGGCCAGGGCGCCCACCTGCTCCAGGAGCTTGCCCCAGTCACCCTCTATGGCCATGGGCAGCGGGAGGCCTAGGAGCAGTGGGTCCTGGTGCTGCCCAGAGAGGCTGTGACCACTCTTCTCCAGCTCCTCTCTGTGCATGCTTTTCAGACGCTTCCACAGGGCAGAGGTACTTTCGTTGGCCCCTGGGCCTTGGCTCGCCTCCCTGCTACATAGGCAGCAGATGGCATATTAACTGGGATTGTGCCCAGCATGAGCAGATGCCAGGTGGAAATACTCCCAGGCCTCCTCAGAAACTGGCTGCCTTGTTGTGGGTCGTTGGAGTGGGAACCTCACCAATAGGCCAGCCAGGTCTCCAGACTCACTGACCTCCATCTCTTTCATCTCTGAGTCTGCTTTTGGCAGCATCCTGGTTGCAACCTTCTCTTCATCCTTTTATGGACTTGTTGTCATGGTGTTTCCTCCTCCACAGCTGTCTTTAGGATGTGCCTAGATGTGTGCAAAAGTTTTTAGTTCAACAACAAAGTTGAAGGATACAAGTTGAGAAGGGACTACAGTCATTCTTGGAGATTCATAATAATGGTCCCAAACTGGCCACACCTACCAATGTGATGGTTCCTGCTTAGAAGGCTGGTGAGTCAGATGTCCAGCAAAACAGCCAAGTAATCCATTTGTTCTCTGCTCCAGATACTTACTGATCCCTTCTTAACGAGCATGTTATTTTTGGACCAAGGTGTTCCCTGCCCAATAATTGCAACACTCTTATGTGAACCCAGTGCACTATATCACCTACTAGAACAAGCACGTTATTTTTATTTTTATGACTGTCATACGTGAGTATTGTCTTTGTGTAATTTTCATCCATCCCAGTCTTCCATCAACCCCTCCCGTGCTCCCCAATCCCTCTCAATTGATTGTCCTCTTCTTTATTATTGTTACATATACATATATTTATATATATTGCAGTGAGTCCATCTGGTGGTGGTCATGTGTACCTGTATTTAGGGCTGCCCTCTTGGAATCTGGTAGCCTCTCAGGGAGCTAGTCCTTGGAGAAAACTGATTCTTCCTCCCTCAGCCTCCATTGATTGCTTGTAGCTCTTCAACTTGAGGCGTGACCACGTGAAATTTCCCCCATCCACCTTGGCATGTCAAGTGGTTTTGCCATTATGCAGACCTTGTTAGATTGCCACACTGTGGAGATTTCACTGGTACAGCTTCCGTATCATGTCCAGAATGCATTAAGTAGCAGCAGATGTCAACCCAATAGGCATATTTTAATAGTGAAATTTTTAGGTTTTCCTTTGATTTTCCTCTTAGCTACTTTCTGTTTCTGTGCCCCTTGACAGCTGGGAACATATTTTAGAGGAAGGACGAACAGCCTTCACTCTGAAGCTATCCAGGATGCTCGAGAATGGGGCCTCACTGGGTATTCCTCAGTAGGTGAAAGCAAACAGACAGATGCTGATGGGAGGGTGATCTTTGC